CTGTAAAACAATGGAACGTATTGTCAACCTTAGACTCCAATGGTACTTGGAAAGTGAAAACATTTTCACGCCGCAGCAGGCAGGATTTAGACAGTGCTACTCCACAGAAGACCAGACAACTTACCTTTCACAAGAAATTGAGGATGCCTTCCAGGAAAAGAAGCTAGTGCTAACGGCATGGATAGATCTGAAGAAAGCTTTTGACAAGGTCTGGAAAGAAGGTCTACTGAAGAAACTGAGAGACTGCAGGGTGAATGGGAGTATGTACAAATGGGTCAAAGCATACTTGTATAACAGAAGATCCCGAGTACAGATAGATGGACTTAAGAGCAAGAAAGTTTTGCTGCGCCATGGCGTCCCACAAGGAAGTGTCCTGTCCCCCACACTCTTCCTAGTCTATATCAACGACCTGCTTTCTGAACTACCCCATGGAATTAAAGCTGCAATGTATGCTGATGACTTGGTACTCTGGTGTACAAATGAAAATGCGACAGTGGCCACCAGACTGCTACAAAGAGCCATAGATGCAATGGCTAAATGGGCCGACAAATGGTGTGTCAGCATCAACATAGGCAAATGCAGCACCACTCTCTTTACCCTTTCTCCTAAACAAAAATCAGGCGCCATGCACATAAATGGAGTACCCCTGAGAGAGGATAAGGAGCCCACATACCTCGGCGTAACGTTTGATGATAGATTAACATGGAGAAAACACATCAACAAGGCAGCAACCAAAGCCAGAAGGAGGGTAGCCATTCTGAGAAAACTAAGTGGAACCACATGGGGTGCTAGCGGGAAAATACTTAGAAAAGTTTACCAACAAAGTGTTCGACCACATCTTGAATACGGATCAACAGCATGGAGTTCGGCATCAAAAACCACATTGCAAGAATTAGACAAAGTGCAAAATCAAGCACTCAGAGTTACCACAGGCAGTATGAAATCAACACCTATAGCTGTGATGGAGAAAATGGGGATGACCCAAGCACTAAGTGACCTCAGAGACACCAAGATGCTTTTACAAGCAGAAAAGTTTCTTAGTATGCCCAGTCACCCTATGAATGAAAGATTCAAAAATTTAGCTTTGGGACGACTAAAGAGAAGTAGTTTTATCCACCAGGCCAAACGGCTCGGCAGACAAACCACTGATTTACCTGCAACTGATAGATCCTTAAATGCTGTCACAGAACGGACCCCCTGGAGAGAGGAGTATAAGTTTCCAATACACATCAAGACTGAAGTGAAAGGGGTATTTGACAAGGAAGAACAAAACAGTGTGCAGCGCAAAACAGCCACCCTCAGTTTACTTGATGATGAGTACCCGCAGAACCTTTGGGTCCGTGTTTACACAGATGGGTCAGCAGAAAGCGCAGTCAGAAACGGAGGTGCGGGAGTGTACATTGAGTATCCTAATAATACCAGGGATACAGCCAAATTACCAACGGGAAAGCACTGTCACAACTATGATGCAGAAGTTCAAGCCATCAAGATAGCGGTAGAGAAACTACTAAATACAGGGTATTTTTCACAACCAGTGGTATTCCTGACAGATGCAAAAGCAGTACTTCAGTCACTCCAGTCTGGAAAATTACCAAGCATACGGACACTATTATCCGAACTAGGCAACCGCTGTAAATTAGTAATGCAGTGGATACCTTCCCACTGTGGAGTTCCCGGAAACGAAAAAGCTGATAAACTAGCTAAGGAAGGTGCAACTGAAGAACAACCTGACATACCAGTCTCTTATCAACAGAAGAAGAGAATGATCAAATCAATCAGAATGCCACCGAAACTGGCACAAGATGATTACCATATTATGGACAGACCAGAGCAAGTTATTATCCTTCGCCTTAGAACAGGGCACAATCGACTTCGCTCCCACATGTACAACAAATTTAAGATTGGCCAATCGGCCATGTGTACTTGTGGACTGGCATCTGAAACAACAGATCACATCCTTCAAGACTGTCCCATATTCAACGCTTTCAGGCAAAACATTTGGCCAAAAGAGACACTTGTGGAAGTCAAACTTTACGGGCCGCTTAGTGAATTACAAAAGACAGTGAAATTCATACAAGAGACGGCTTTGCAGATATAGACAATTTATTTCATGCGAACGAAAGAAGAAGAAGAAGAAGAAAAGAAAATGTGTAATTTTGTTCTACAGAAATACCTTGCTATAAACGTGTTCTAGCTAATTTTGTAAATACCTATGTTCCGAGTTCTGTGAGATAGATTCTTAACTGAAACATTTAACATTTAAACGATGATGTTGATATCATTGGCTTTTACCCGTGACATCATGAAAAAATACAATCTGTCTAAACAGAACACTCCAGCCATCTAATGAAATACAATCTGGAAAAATAAAACAAAGGCAACAGTTAGTACGCCTACACCAAAGGCATCACAAACAGACAGTTATCTTACAGAGCTTCCACACTGTCCGCTCCCTCCATTGTATATGCCTTAAGTTGTTTGAACTACATGTTTCCATGCTTTTAGGTGTCTCCACTGTAATGTATTCCATATGAGTTTTGTATTACACAGGCGGTGTGTGATCTGTGCATCGGCAATAGCACTGGCAGCGATGACGAGGGTTCAGGAGGACGTCCCAGCAGTACCTACATGAACAGTCGGGCATTAGTCAACAAAGTGAAGAACAGATTCAGCAATGTTTTACCGAGTGAGTGTATCGCATTCGTCCATTATCCGAAGAAATGTTATTTACTAATTAAAAAGTAAGTTTTCAAAGAGTGAAGGATATTTCCCCCCGCATTCAGATGTACTGGGCGTATAGGACTAGACCTGCATTTTATAGATCAATCGGTACTCGGTGGGTGATGTGGTCAACATCGCACCGCCCGCTTTTACTTCCCAGGACTTTACCTGTTACGAATTTGAGGCTGGATAATTTTTGAAAAAGTTCAGCTCCATCAGGACCTGATTCCACGACCTTCAGATCCGCAGGAAAGCGTCTAGCGCTACACCACGGTGGCCTTAAAAAAAAAAAAACTGAAGAAGTTATGGTCCTCAGATACCATTAACACACTGGCCAATATAAGCCAGAATCACATTTAATAAGATAGTCTATATTCATCTGGTCAGAATAGAGCAATATCAGCTAGCATTTTAAAGCGTACCACATGAGAACAGCAGGCTGCAAGTCAAGAGTCAAGTAAATTAGACACTATAAAAATGCAATAAGACATTAACACATTATGGCCGAACATAAGCTACCCAACTAGCAAAATACAGGAAAATAAACGTTATCTGATTTAAATTCCCATGACATTTCTTGGCAAACAAAATAACCTGTTGCTTGGTGCGTCTGGCCATCCGTCTTGCGTTGGTTTCGACAGTGGTATCAAGAAAGCCGACCGTCCAAAAGCAATGGCAAACTACTGGACGTAAATTGCCTAGAAAAAACACACAACAGCCAGGGGCTGTTAGGGTTGATTCTGCAACGTCCTGTAAAGGTTGCACATTAACTTTTTGGTGCGTTTACTGTGTGGTTCTATATCCCACTTCAAAGTTCATTCTACAGCATTTACACCGTAGAATATTTGTTGCTGGAGAAAGCGCATCTAAGGATATGAACGGCTGAAACATGATGATGCTTTTTAATTCAGTAATCAGTAGCTTTACATATATTATGTTACAACATCACCAGGTGCAATGGCCATCTATCTTTCTCTGTAAATGAGTCTTCCCCCCCCCCCCCCCATTCCCAAGGGAGTACTCGTACCTTGTATTTGTTTTGTGTTGTATTTCTTTAGTTACACATTATTTACAGTTGCCAAAGTGGCCTGACTGAATGGTGAAATGTATTTAGCATCGTGTGCAGACAAATTATTAAAAAACCTGCCTTGAATTGCGGCTAAACGGTGAAGCAATATTCCTAGTGCTTGTTTATTGATATATGTCATTTAAAAAGTCTGTTTTAGCACAGCGGACTTCTGATGTCTTTAATTTTCCAACAGTGCCTAGGCCCTTCTATGACGCAAAAAAGCCTTCATATACGTGTTCATGATGTAATGAATTTCGCGTCTAGTTTTCTACAGGCGAAGAAGTCATTTTCTCGCAGAGTGCAGATATTTAACATAACATAATCCTTGACCCATTAGGGTCGTGTCTTTGCTGAAGCGGCATGCTTTTATGCGACTCCCTAGTTTAGAGAACAGTCGAGTTATAGAGATCGAGCTAGAAGAAAAATCTGCAATTAATTCAGCCCTCTGGGTTGTAAACGTCTTTAAGTCCGAGTATTATACTTCTTCATCGTCTTCTTTGTTTTCTTCTTTCACTTCGCCTTCACCGGTTGCAAACTCCAGCGGAATGTCCTGGTTGTTCGTCCAGTTCTAGGCTTTAGTCTTGTTTCAGAATTTGAGTTTTGCACGCAGATCCGTCATACAGATCTAGCTTATTTAAAAGCAGAGTGTTGCTTCCTTGCCTCTCAGGCAGATACATTCCGACTTTAAAGGAAACACCTCTTATTAGGCAACTTGTGAGGAAAGTGTGTTGAAAACAAAAAGAGAACGCCTTAAAGAGGGAAAAAAATGGGGGGGGGGGGCGGGTGGTTTATTCTTTTGTCCCCACTACAGTAAAATAGTTTGCTATCAATGTGGTCAAACATGTTTCATGTATCTCCCACAGCACAAGTTTTGCTGTCAGTGTGGTCAAAACATGTTTTCCATGTCTCCCACTGTACTAGTGTTGCAATCAATGTGGTCGAACATGTTTTATGTGTCTTCCACACTACAAGTGTTGATATCAATGTGATCAAATATGTTTTATGTGTCTTCCACACTACACGTGTTGATATCAGTGTGGTCAAACATGGTTTATGTGTCTTCCACACTACACGTGTTTATATCAATGTGGTCAAACATGTTTCTGTATCTTCCACACTACAAGTGTTGATTTCAATGTGGCCAAACATGTTTTATATATCTTCCACAGAGGATCACTATAGACCACACTTGTTTTGTGAGACAAAGGACATGGGAGAGTACATCAATGCTGTATTGCTTCCGGTAAGAGAATGATTGTGTTTTAGTTAATTAGTCAACGTATAATCTTCACTGTACATCCAGTAAATAACTGACGGTTAACTCTTGAGATGGGAGAAACATTTTAATACAAAAATACACATTTATTGATTGGTCATCTTAGGAAGAAGCAGTGAGAGAGGGCGTACTATCATCATCGTTGTCAAGTTGTTCTGTTTTGCCATTAGATGTCACATAAGGTTCACAGTCTATTCCTCCATTCCTTTCTGCTCTATACAATTCCTTTTATGTGATCTATGGAATCCAGTCCAGCACCTTTGGCCTCTCTCATCAACGTTCATTCTGGGGTTTCATTTAAACGTCCTCGTATACCCAGTGCCTTTATTTCACATGTTAGTGTCTGTCTGGTAATTTTCTGCTCGTTTAGCTTCAACATTTAGGATTCACTAAAAAATATAAAAATCGAAAAGCTCTAATTACCAAACCAGGAATCAAATCTGTCACCTAGCTACAAAAACTAGTGCACTTCGTCGCATGACCAACTCGATTCCATAACAAAACTGTTATCATAAGCCGGATCTGTCATACAGTTTCAACCCAAAACTATAGAAAACGGACATAATTCTTTGCCAACCAACACAATAACACCACATACTACAGAATTTCACAATAACCGATCATAGGCACAGTAACAAACACTTATCAACAACGTTAGGCCGTAATGCTGTGTCTAGTAGGCAGTGAACATTTAAAGAAAAACTGTAATTGACTAGCTGCACTAAGATCCATGTAGGTGAAATTCCAAGGAGATTAACACAGTTTTATTTCAACCCCACCCCTCTTCCCAAGTTATGGCCCTTGGCACTGCACATAGGGTATTTATTCCTCTGGCCCACGTGCCTCGACAGTCTACTGAGAAGTCATCGACCCGGCTGCTTCGAGATACCAACTGTATTTTGTGTATTTGTGTAGTATTGTTTGTTTTTGTATGTGTTGATGAAGGCTCCATAGCCGCAACGTTTACTTTGTTGTGTTTTTGTTTTATTTTAAAGCTTGCTAATATATGTTTCCTTCGGTTTACAACTTTTCTTGACATGATGTATGTAACACACAAATGCCTTTACATTTACTGTTAATCAAACCATACAGTGAATATTATCTCAGATCTCCTTAGTATATCCTTTAAGATGTAGCGGCTGAAAGAGCAAATTCGTTGTTGATTTATTTTATTCTTCCATCATCATCATTTTCACTATCACCATCATCGTCATTACAAACCACTTCTATTGTTAAGCGACGTAGGGAGGAATAATTTGCGATCCAGAGCATGCTGGTTGCCGATGGCTATTGTCCTGCCGTGAAGGCGTATAGTGTCTTTAATATTGTCGATCCATGCTGTCGCTGCCGTCCTCTTGCTCTTGTAGCTGATCTTCTGAGATGTAGTGCTAGTGACGGTATCTGATCTTGCTGCATTCTAACGAGATGACTATTTGTTCTTTGTCTTCCTGTATATGACTCCTTCAGAACCATATATTTCCTTCTATTCCAAAAAAGTGTAAACCAGGCAGTAAAGACAAGAAAAAGATAAGGACTGAACAAGGGAAACAAATAATGATACATAGCTGTTACACTATTTAACACTTTATGTCAACATTACTCTAGAAATTAAAAAAAAATCATAAATCATGTAAGATTTAAATTGTTTAAAGCAAATATATTATCCTGGAGGGAATCAGTAAGGGTACTTCGGGATATTCTGCTGCACAGCAGGAGTAAACACGCAAGGAAATGTCCAATCTGCCATAGGATAAAAATTTAAAACAACATAAATTCCTCATCGATTCTGACGTTTTTGCTTTCAAATGACATTCATTGGCCTTCATGTCGACCTAACTTAAAATGTCATGAGGTATTGTCCTGGGAAGTAAAGGTGGCTGACATAATGTTGGCCATATCATCGATCTATAAACAAATGGGCCTAGCACTATATGCCCGCAGGGTCAAAAACGGGACAACTCGCTTACCTGCATAAAGTAAGTAGATATTTTTTAAAATCTAATAATGTAACACGTGCTTATTTTGACTGATTTGTGTGTTACATGCACCAGAGCTTGACCAATCAGAGCAGCCAAATACTGACCCAGTTACCACTCCCAGCAACGGTCACAGACTTCTGGCGTCTGGTGACTCAGTACAACGTGTCACTGATTGCCGCTTTTGAGCTGGATTCTGACGACCCAGTAAGTCCATGATAGTGGTTTAAGTCAAGGATCTCTATCATGTTACAGTATATTAAAGTATATATAAAGTACATTTTAATTGGACTGCCTGGTTAATCAGCTTAAAAGATTTGAAAAAACAAACGAATTCTAAACTTACAATTGTAATTAATTTCACATCAATACTTTTGTATGGAGCGGAAACAAGGAGAACAAGTAAAACAAATACTAACAAAGTAAAACAATCCATTAACTAGTGCCTGCACAGAATAGAAGGAGTTAAATGGTATGATAGAATCACTCATCTTGAGCTTTGGGAGAGAACTAAACAACCTACAGTGGACCAAGAGGTGAAGAAAAGACATTGGCGTTGGATAAGACACACACTGGGAAAGCCTGAGAACATAATTACTAGAATGTGGTTGCACTCGAACCCACATGGACATAGATTAAAAGACGGACCCAAAACACACGAGAAGAGAGCTAGGGAGTGAAGTTAAAAAAGACGAGGAAAACATGGGATGAGCTGCATGCTATAGCGATGGATCGAGCGACTTTGCATGAGTTGGTTGAGGATAGAAAGCAGAAGAACAAGAAAGTAAATATAAAGTGCGTTTTAATTGTATCAGACCGTTTATTCAGCTTGAAATCTGCTTTTCCTCCGTATTACTTTCAGAAGGTTTATTTTTTTAAATTAAATTAAAATAATCTCCGGGTATCTCAATCCATATTTTAAGTCAAGACTGTTTTTCACGCTATGGGAGGCATTAAAATGTAGATGCCACATAATTTTTTTTTTGGGGGGGGGGGGGGGGGGGATAGATTTTTTGAGCAAAATCACACTGGTCACCAATTTGAGTTATTTGTACATGATAATGCCGGCATCTGTGACTTAGGCGTTGCCAATTTAATAATTCCGGTGTCAGGTTTCAATGCCATCTGCGTGCAATGGGGCAGCAGATCGCCTTACGTCAAGTTCGTAAGGGATGACGAAAGCTGCCTCTCCACAAAGCAGGGACACACCACCGAATGTAACATTGCCTAATGGAATCATTAACAACCATAAAATTCTGGGTTTGATTCTACAATGTCCCGAGAAGGTACAAATAACTTAGTTTAGTATTAGTTTAAATTTATTTTGATTTCCACTAATTCCCTAGCGCACTAAAAAACTCCTATGTCCTTTTGTATTAGTATTTTAGTATCTCGATCGGTTCCCCCATCTGTATCTATATTACTAAATAGGTAGGCTATAATTGTACACCTTTGATGTGATACCATCAGAAGAAATTGGATTACTGTTTGCCAAGCTTATTATCATTATCTTTGTATTTCCATTAGGAATTGTTAGAATAAATTATTGAGATTTCTCATTAAGCATGTTTAATCTAACATGCATCTAATTTCTTGAGTGGGAGAGGGGAGAAGTGTCTCCAGAGAAACTATATCCTCAAGCAGTTTTGAAGGGAAGCACCGAGTTCCATAAGTGTTGTTGTTCTCCCTAATATAGTGGATACAGTAAGAACTCCTACTGGATCTTGATGGGGTATTAGGTCAAATTCACTACATCACTATTTAGTTTCCTTAACAATTTCGGGTATACATTTTAGCCTTCATAGACCTACTATCTAGGTCATTTAAAATCACCATCACCTCAAAGGCGAATCGTTTGCATGACTATCGAGCTAGTAGACAAGTACTGCCATGTACTGAGCTCAACTGGTGTCCAGAAAAGTTTTAGGTAGAAAATATTCAAATACTCTATCTTTCGAAGTTGGTGGTCCAGCAAGCAGATCACCCTAAACTCAGATTTAAATAGTCAAACTGGCACTATACGAGTAATGTGATCTTCATCAATCTGGCCCATTGTTATTTTCCAGGATAATTTCTAATAACTGATTGACTGACATCCAACCCCACACGGACAAACACCCGCTGACACAGAGTGCCACCATTTCAGAATAGGATAATCTCAGGGCATGTCCAAGCAATCCTGGTCAACCCCTACTTTGGGTTATATTAGGGTCACCGGCAACAGACATGGAAAAGGGAGGGGGGGGGGGGGGCTGTAATACAACACAAATTTGCCTCCAACGTTGGGACCTAATGCAAATAATTTTAAGTAACCCATTTTAGCTGGCTCGATCTATAAACCATATTCAGTGATTCCCCCCCCCCCCCAATTCCTCCTAATTCGCCTTGTACGGAGTCGAACTCAAGATCATCGAACATTCAATGTTCTAGCTACTACTCAACTGCAGCTCTCAAGTGTATTCAGCAGAAATATGTGTGTTGCATTATGTTTACCAGCCAACTGTTTCATTTGTTCTTTTTCATCGACAGACTATTGGTGCCTACATTCCGTCTGGAAGCGGCGTACCGTTGCAGTGTGGGCCTTTTGAAATCAAGATCACATCCGGACAATCAAACGAACTCTGGGAAGAGACAGTGCTACTTGCACTGAAACAAAAGAAAAGGAAACCTTCATTGACAACCTCGTCGTTAGTAAGTAAAATGCAATACAACTATTTTTGGTTAATGTGCTTGTATTGGGGAGCTCATAGCATAGCGAATTGCACGGGTGGCAACCTATAGGTCACGCCCCCATTTGTGGGTTGCTGGGTAGTAAGGAGCTGTGAAAATTTTGAAAACGGAAAAAAATAACATCATTGCGTCATGCCCAGAGGAAAATCTTTTCACAATATTTTCAGAATGTTTTAATTTACCCTATTTAAAATCCCATTTATAAAGTGTAGGCGTCTGTGGCTCAGGTGTTGACTGCGCGCTTCGTAATGCCGAGTTGACGGGTTCGATCCCAGCTGCAAGTGTTTTGACAATGTCTTCCATTAGTTTCGACAGTGGTACCGAAAGTCGACCGTGCAGTCATGAGTGGCAAACTACTGAACCTAAGTTTGCCCCCCCCCCCTCTCTTCTCCCCCCCCCCCAACCCGGCCAAAAAAAAAGAAATGCTGCGGCTTGTTCTGCAACGTCCTGTTAAGCATAAACAACTAAATAACTTATTTATAGTGTATGGCGTCGAGTATAGCTTTGCTGCTATATGATAGTGTCACATTTAAAAAAGGGTTCGGAGCCACGGGCATAGAGGCTAGATGCTCCAACATTGACCCGAATAGCATGGGTTCACGTCCTAAAATGTACCCCGACACCCAGACGACAAATGTTCCCGCTAATCTTCAACAACCAGAATGCGATCCAAATTCTGTAGGCGTATCAGAAGCTGACACATTCTGGCTGGAGATAAAAGCTTTGTGGAGAAGAATGGTCGCTCACACCAGTCGTCTAGTTAAACTCTCTAATGGTGTTAAATCTATTGGCTAAATTTAGGAAGGAGCTGTCCTGGCGTAGCGGTTAGACGCTCGTTTGCGGATCGGAAAGTCATGGGTTCGAGTTTTGACATAGCCGGATTTGTTAAACAAAATTGACCTTGGTCCTATATCGACCCATCTATGAATGGGTACCAGAGTAAATGAAGTTCGTCTCCACCAGGACTGCACATCGTGCGGTAAACACCCGGTGACAAAAAGTGCAACAAGTCTGCATGCGCAAGACCCAGAAACTCCATTTAACCTTTATGTTTTATTAGGGCCCCTAATAGTGGGGATTTAAAATAAGTAAAATATGCGTCGCATAATGGGACGGCGTAATTAAATTATCGGTACCAGGTATCGACCTGTGAAAAAAAGCAGCCGGCGTGATGCTGACCACATCACCCACCAGGTGCTGATAGGTCTATAAATATAGTTCTAGCGATATACTCCCAATACGCCCGAAGGTGTGGAAAGGGGTCCTTTACTTTCTTTTTTTTTTTTTTTTGCTTAAGTTTTTTAAATTAATATTATTATTATAAAATACAAAAATTATTAGGCTTTTTAATGAGATTTAAACCAGTTGAGCTCCCCCACCATTCCTTAAAAAAAATGTTTTTTCTAATGAGCTGAGGATCAGCACCCACCTCCTTCCTCTGATGCTTTCCTTGTGTCGAGTCCGGTTAAAAATACCAATAAGAATAAACTCACAGGGAGCAAGTACAGCGGGGATCTATAGTCATCAGTAGAAATTATCCTCGTCGACACACGTTTCGGCCCACGATTCCTAAACGTATTCGGAGGTGGGCCCACCTGAGTTCATGAAGCTCAGGGCTGCTTCCCCGCTGCACAGAATTACCGGATGGTGTTATTATTTCGGCCAGAGACAAGACGACTTAGTGGTTTCGAAGGAGGTACTGTGAGATAAGAAGCCGCCGCGACAGCGTAATTAAAACAGTCCGCATGCCTGGACGACCGAGCGACAAGCTTACTTTGGTTTACCGGACACATGTTGGACTTTTTTTAGCAGTTGGCAGAGGGACACTGGCAGACAATTCGTACACGATGGACTTTCAAAGGGATGAGAAACTCCTTTCCGCTAGACACCCGGACCAGCTCACCGAGGCCCGTCCCCTACGTTGTTGCGCTGCGTCCAAAGCCAGCTAGAGGCCCTTTCGGCTGCCTCTCCCAGTTTTTTAAGTGTTCGTTTCCGTTCATTACCGCGCAATCCTAGTTCTTTCACCACATTGTAGAGCGAAGTGGAAACGAGGCCTCTCGCTCCCACTTCGACGGCAAATACCCGTACCGTGTAAGCCTCGTTTCTCCTCAAACCGGCTGCTAAATCACTGTACTTTTCGAGCTTGTACAAGTGATTCTCCTCCATACGCGACTCAAACGGGACCGTCAACTCAATCAGGATGAGCTGCCGTTTTTGCGCAGAATGGAGAACGATGTCCGGTCGCAGGCCGGTTTTACGGATCAACTCGGGATACCGTTCATGTCCTGGCAGATCAACCGCCAGTAACCAGTCCCTCGCAGAGTCTAGCACAGATGGAGCGAATGCGTTTTGGTTGACCTTACCTTTTGGAACCTGCCCAGCCTTGAGAAAACGAATGGGGACGATACTAGAACTGGCTCTGGCATTAGCCCTCATTCTAGCCTGGTCGACAACGGCTGCTAACTCTTTTAGCACCTTGTTGTGGCGCCAGGTATAGCGGCCTTGACCTAGAGCTTTCCTGCACGCGGACTCTCAAGAGTTTGCTATTTGCACAACGGGCAAGTCGGATCGTTGGTCGCAGACCATTTAACCATGTTAACACCGGACGGTTAATACATCGTAACGCCGAACGAAAGCTCAGTCGCAGCGGGGTCATACGCCAGATCTCACCCCATGTGAGTATTCTAGGCAATGCGATCTCCAGGCTGACCCAATGGCCCTGCTGCGACTGCTGGGCTGCTTTCTGGACCCGAACCTCGTTTTCGTTGTCCCTCACCGTTTGTATCACCATGTCTCGGCGTTCTTTGGCTGAGGCCTTTGACCACCAATTGACTTTCCCGTGCCCTAGGCCTCGACGGTCGGTTTGTGTGTAACCCATTATCTCCTTCAATTTTAGTGCGTTCTGAGCAGATTCTATCGCATCGAGGACCCTCCACTTCTGACCAGTCTTTAGAGCGGGCTGGACAGCGATGACATTTGGGGTCTGAGGACTCGCGCAAAAGCATGGCGAGCCTAACTTTGCCGACTTTAAACTCTTCGGTTATCGACTTGAACGGAAGTACCAGCTTAGCCTGTTTACAATACAGAGCCACGTCGGTCAGACAAGGCGGTGCACCAATCCACTTTCTTAAGGCTGTGTTGATTTTCTTTTCCATGGTTTCCACTGCAGTCATCGTCACCTCGTAGACTAGCAGTGGCCATAGGAGCTTCGGAATCAACATGAATTGGAGACACCATACCTTGAATTTTCCGATCAGCCTGCATCGCTCGATCGCGAGCAGGCCTGTAGCCAGTGACTCATGTATTCGCCGGACTTCCGCTCTGTCAGATAGCTTCGAATCCTAAACGCGACCATTATACAAACAGTAAACAATACCATTATAGACGCAATCCTGGTTTTTGTTTTACCTATGTCGCTTGTTTCTTCTTGTCCGTATCGATATAGCAGCACATCGGCTCTGTCCTTCGATGTAGCAGGTACCTCAGTGTTTCCATGCTCAACGTAGCCGCAAGGAGTTGACTGTCATATCTTTTCTTTGTCCCGCAGCCAGTTTCTGCAAGTTTATCCTTGTTTAATACCCACTTCCAGCTGGTGGTTTATAGTCTCTGACTTTCTTGTCTCAAGGTCTTTGGAACGCAACACATTCAGTATTTTTTGCACTGTCCATACTTCATCCTCCACTAAGCACTGCAGCACGAGCAATTTGTCGGCTCTTTCATTTCCTTTTACGCAGGCGTGACCCATGTAAACTGCCAAGACAGTTTCTTGAGGCGGGATTGCTTGATGTTGTCAACTCATTCTAGTATGTTATTTTTAATCTTGTTTTTTTATGCTCACTGAGTCTATCAATGCGTGAGTTGCTTTCTGTGCCGCCAGCATGCAAGTACCCCTGTGATAGTTGCTATCTCCATCGTCATGCTTTAAGTGAATACCCTGAGGTAAAAATGACTTTGAGCAAGTAAATTTTTACTTTGTATAGTTAACATACAATGTCAGCATTAAATGACGATCTGTTTCTCTGTACTTCACCACAGCGCACGCAAGAACACAGAGTCACTCATCTCAAATGCACCAAGTGTGACTTTGATCCAGGGAATATTCTGACCTTTATCCAAAAATTGAGATCTCACCGGCAAAATGACAAAAGTAGAATCTTGTTTATGTGCAGGTGATTTCTGTGTATAGCATTGTGTTGTGTTTGTGCCAGTAATTCGCTGGCGAACCATTCTGAAATGTACAAAGAAGGGGACTGCCGTGGTGTAGCAGCTAGACGCTCGCCTGCGGTTCTGAGGATCCTGGGTTCGGGTCCTGACGGAGCCTGACTTTAAAAAAAATAACCTTGGCTCCTGGCTCAAATGGGTATCTGGTACAGTCCTTGGGAGTCAAGGCGACCGGCGTGATGCTAACCTTATCACCCACCGAGCGCTGATTGGTCTGTAAAATATCAGCAAAAGGGTCTTTTATTTTTACTCTATAAATATAATTTAGAAAGTAATGTTTATTTGCTCGTGAATTGAGATGTTTGAGAAAGGCCGTGAAACAAACTAGAAGAGATCATGTGAGAACTAAAGAAATTACAAGAACTATTGGAACAAAGCCTATAATTAAATTCGCTGAAAAAAAAAAGAAAAAAAGAATGGTTCTGTCATTTAATGAGAATGAATTCAATGATGCCAGCAACGAGAGCGTACAACATGAAATTAGTACTCTAAGACGTAGGGGGCCACCAAGAAGAATGTGGATTGAAAAAGAAATGATGCCTGGAGACTCCACAATTTCACAGCATACAGTGCAACCGAGCGTGCCCTGGCTCGGAAAGCTATAATCTGTTAACCTGCGACCCCTAGCGGCACAAAGCAGAAAATGGACAGAAGAAAGAAAACTCTCCCTGCGTGTTGAGACGGTTAATTCTATTGCGAGAAGGACATCATCAGCAGACAGCAAGTGTAAACTGTGCATTATATATACAGTCAGTAGCTCATTGACTTCTTCTTCTTCTTTACATCCTCTTTTACCGCTTCGGGTGTCGAGAGAGGTTTAAGGTCCTGCTTCGTGCTCTTCTGGCTGCGACGACCATAGATACATCATGGTGCTATAGGGTTTCTCTGATGATAGCTTTCCAACTTGTTCTTGGTCTACCTCTTCATCTATATCCACCTCCTCTTTTGATATATGCCTTGTATAGTATAGCGTCAGAAGACATTCCTTTTCAAGCGTGCCACACATGTAATTTGTTGTCTTTGTATGTAATTTAGAATTGGTTCTGTGCCGACTTTATCTCGTATAACCTCATTTCTGATTTTATCTCTTTCGCTCACTCCTACAGTCTCTCTCAGAAACCTAATTTCCATGGTTACTAATTTTCTTTTATGTTTTGTTGTGAGTGACCATGTCTGGCACTGATAGCATAGGGTGGGAATGAATATGCTTTGTATGAGATGTTACTTTGTGCTGATTGTGATTGCCTTATGATGTAAGAGGGGCGCTAGCTGTCCCAATACTTGGCCTGCTTTACTGCATCGGATAATAATTTCTTCGCCCAGTTTACTATCTTCGGTGAGTGTTGCTCTAAGATAATTAAACTCAGAAGCCTGTTTAATTTATGTATGGTCTAATGCTATATTTAATTCTACTTCTTTCCTCCTAGGCATTTCTTCAGTCTTTTCGATTTTGATTCCCATATTATTTGATTTACTTTCTTCATTCATGGAAATGAGATGTTGAAATTTCTAGGCTGAATCTGTAATGAAGGCCTGGTCATCAGCAATGAGTAATTCGTTGTTGTTACTATTTTTTTCATTCCTGGACTAGGCATCTTTGCTTATACTGTCATAGTCATTGATTACACTCCAGAAATATGAGGCACGTCTCGAGCTCATGAATTTTATTTCACCCCCTCATGTATCCACAATTTATAGTGTTACATTTATCTTGTTACATTTCATCCTGACGTGTAACCACAATTTATAGTGTGACATTTACCTTACTACATTTACGGGCATGGTGGGCAAATCCGGAGCTGACTGACTAACTAGCACGATCACTGACTGCATCAGAAGGCCAGCCATTTGACCCAAATAATACCATAAACTGTACTGTCTTTTGTGTGTGGCAATTTTAACTTTTAAATGAGCTTGGTCTGAGAGTGGATTGGTTGGGAAGAGGGGGGGTATTTGGAGTGCAATAACGATAGACGGGAGTGAATTGTGTGTAATGTTTTAAAGTGTAAAATTTTGTTTTCTGTCCCCAGAAATGGAGCACTCTACAGTGGACTGGTGTGTGTCCTGACTTTGTTGCTGGACAGAATCAATACTGACCATCAGGTGTCGATTCCTCTAGCTGTCGGAACTGTCAAGACGATCAGGCCTCAAGTGATTCCAACACTGGTAATCAAATCATATTGTCTACCGTCTGGTCTGCATGCTGGAATGCTGGAGAATACATAAACTGAGCCGCTTTTCTACATGCACGTGCAATGACTCCACCGCCTAGCTAACTGTGAACATTAATCTTCTGTGGACAAAAGTTGTGAATTTAATGTTTAAAACACTGAAAAGTCCCCCCGAGCACACAGAGTGTCGATAAGTCTAGCATTATGTAAGGTTAGTGTTGCACATTCTTCACAGGACGTTGCAGAACCAACCCCAACAGCCCCTGGCTGTGGTGAGGGGCTGGTGTGTGGTTTCTCTAGGCAACTTTACGTCCAGTAGATTGCCATTGCTTACTGGACGGTCGGCTTTCTTGATACCACTGTCGAAACCAACGCAAGGCCCATGGCCCGCAGCTGGGATCAAACCCGGCATCCCGGCATTACGAATCGTTCGCATCGATTTAGCCACAGAGCCGACGCATTATGTAAACCTACGCCTAAATAGTGGAAAAGTATGTCCCACCCCACTTTCCTTCCCCTCTCTCCTTTCCCGTGAAGACTTTCAGATGTTTTGTTTGTCAACGCCCCCCCCCCCCTTTTCCACCCCTTTTCCCCCGTACTCTAAACAGTCCAGAAATCAGCGTGACTGATTTAATGTATCAACTTTTTTCCGTTGCAAAATATTAATTATTCGTTCGTCCATCACAAGTGATGAGGACCACTCTCTCTTTCATCCGTCATAAAACTGCAGTTGAATGTTTGTGAGTCTGTACGAACAAGTGACTAGCGATGAATTAGATAGAGATGACGTCAGGTGGACTGGATGACCAGTGTGTTCTGTGTGCCTTTTCGTGCTCTTTGCGCTTCACAGGACGTTGCTAGTACCCCCAATCAGGTCCTTTGGGCCAAGTATTGAATTTCTTCACACATTCAGCCGAGTCTTATCTATGCTTGCTAGGATGCACAAATAATACACGTGCAATGAAGTAAGGAGCTAAAACATGGAAAAACAACTAAAACAATTAATTACTGATAAACTACAAAGACTCATTAACGGGTGCCTGCGCAGAACAGAGAGAATTAAATGGAATAATATAATCACTAATGTTGAGTTTTGTGAGAGAACTAAATAAGTTCTAGCGGACTAAGAGGTGAAGAATAGATGCTTGTTTGGACACACGTTACGAAAAACCTGAAAACACTATAACTAAAATGTCTTTGTACTGGAACCCACACATACAGGCGCCCCCCCCCCCCCCCAAAAAAAAAAAAAAAAACAGGGTGAAGGAAGCTTGAAAGTGAATTTAAAATGATGGGGAATGTGGGGCGAGCTGCATGCAATGGTAACGGATAGAACGACTTGGCGTGTGTTGCCATTTGAGGAAAGAAGGAGAAGAAGAAGAAGGATGAAGTAATGATTAATCTGCTTGTGGTGACTCTTTTGGAAGTCTTGACCTACATAATTGCTCGACACTTGTATTTGTCAACATGCTATCTCTCGGGCAGTATTTCAAACACCTTGGGAGCTTTCCTTTTTTGGTAGCCATTTGTTCTGTAACATTAAGCATCCAGGATCCTATTACGTCTACACCACTGGGTGGGTTTGGCTAGCGTGGCAGCAGGCAACTAATTTTTACTTTTCGCCGTCCTAGGAGATGTAGCTGCCTTGAATATTGCCGGATTCAGTGTGACCACACCTTCTGAACGGTTTTAAAATATGCAGACATAAAGACCATTGCATTTGTCTAATAGATGGGGAGGATCTGATCAATAAACACCAGCTGGTGACCCAGTGACACACTGGGTTTGGTGGCCATGGTAATAGGCAAACAGTAAGCCTCAGTTATCATAATCCGCCGCCATGTGGATTTGAGTCCCAGACCCTTCGGACTGATAGCAATTGTCTCGCCACCACAGCTGCTACCGGATCAATTAGATAACAAAAATTGATGTTTAACAAAATCAGAACATCTAATTTATAAAATATGTTCATGAGCAGCATTGCATCTCATGAATACATTGTCTTGACGATGGTAAGGTGCACACAATTGTAAAGTGATGTTCAAAGAAGAATAAGCAACAATTGACCAACGTGTTGATGAAAAAAATTAGTTGCGTATCCTTTATAGGACGTTGCAGAACCAACCCCAGCATTTATTGGCTGATGTGGTGTTTGTAGGCTAATTTTACGCTCATTAGTTTACCATTGCTCCCTAAACGGTCGATCTCGGTACCACTGTCGAAACCAAGTTAGTTGAATTAAGAACCGATATCACAACACTCCAGACATTCTTACAAGCGTTCCGTCCCCATCCTCAGCAGCCATAGCAGAGTTCCACTACCGTGCCAGTATCAGTGTGATTATAATAGCGTTATTTTGCCTTTTCTCTGAGCGTCGTGTATCGGACAAATTCCCTCGTCATTCCTCGCCGTATCGCTCTGACCGGACTGTGATGTTCAGTTTGCTGTTCCGAATTGTACACGTGCTACCACAAGCCCTTAACCACGTGTGCCTTATCATGCATTAATATCCCATCCATCTCTGCCAGCCTCTCTAAGCCTAAGTAAGCTGGTCGTCTATTAGCTTACTGGACAGATTATGTTGCTCTTGCTTTCAGACACACACACACACACACACACACACACACACACACACACTCACACAGACACACACTCACACAGACACACACACTCACACACACACACTCACACAGACAGACACACACACTCACACACACACACTCACTGTACTGGTATAATACACACTGTAAATGCAGTCTGTTAGACACACACACTCACACACACACACTCACACAGACAGACACACACACACACACACACACACATATATATATATATATATATATAATATATATATATATATACATAAAATCTAAGCCGTTAGTTTATAATACAATTCTGTACTGGTAAATGCAGTCTGTTAAGAAAAAACACAATGGACACATAAAAATCTGAAGTCTGCTGTAAACAAATAATACACGAATACACAATGGAGGAAACTACATACTCAGCTATGCATATACGGGAGTCTATGATTATTTTACATACTTACCTACGCATGTATGAGTTGAGAAAGTGAATTCTCAAGAACTATATAAATCCTATCCTGATATACAGGAGTGCATCATTGACAGTTGGCCGATTAGTTAAAAATTATGCGGAAGCGGCGGAGACATGGTTTTACAGATGTAGGATAAGAACACACTGGTCAAACAAAAAGAGTAATGAAGGTGTATTGAAAGAATTTGATTCGGAGAGATAACTGATTGCCTACATCAGATTGATGCACTCTACAGTCTTTGGTTACGTCATGAGAAGGAGACAACTGAAGTATGTCGTGACAACGGTAAAGTTGAATGAAAATGGACAAAAGAAGTCTGAGAGAGAAGATGCTGGGCAGTGTGACATCATGACACAATTCATCTGTGTCAAAACTGAGTGAAAGAACAATAGACAGAAGGCTGTGAATAGACATGACTACATGCCACATGGCATGGACTACCTGTATAAGAAGAACTATGCATGAACGGGTAGTTAAAAGTTGGCCAGACGAGAAAAGACACGAAAGAAAGGGTAAAACCTGTTAACATATTGTGCTACTAGAAGTATTAAAATCTACATTTGTCGACATTTGCTGTGAGAGAAGGGAGTCTGTGGGTAGGCCTGATGTGCTACGAACCATATAGTTCAGATTGTGGTCGGTGGACCGGTGTCGGTCCACCGTACATTTCCGCAAAAATCTTTAGGGGTTAAATGAAACAACCTTTCGGCCACGTTGGTCAGATTTTGTAACCTACACGCAATAACAGATGTCACATTAGGTAAAATCTCTAACTATTCCACATTGAATGTGATCCAAATACTGTAGTCTATATTTCGTTTGTTTGTTTGTTCTGTTTTGGCCATCAGCCATTAAGCGAAATATCTCTAATATTTCCTCGCCCATGGGAAAGGTTTAAGAGCTCTGATGTAGAATGTGAAAACCAATGAAAAGATTATAACAATATCTAAAATATTAAACAGTTTAATGTAATTAACACCATCAGGTCAAATGTCTTCTTGTTTGTCACGCAGGATCAATACAGAACTCTGTACCAAGCGCTGAACCTCTACTGCGAGACTGACAACACATACAGTAACTGTGCCGACGTCACGTCAAATACCAAACAGGCCGTCGAGACCGGTGTAACTAATACTGCATTTGTTGATAATGATAATAATTCTGAAAATGTTTACGCAAACTTCTAACACATATAATTACAAATACCTTAGTTTTTTTCAAATCAGAAACTGGGCAAGTACCCTGCTGGGGAAACCAGTATGAAACTGAATCTGACACGAGGGTCCGACTGAAAGTCAACCATTCAAGGTAGCTTTGATGCAGAAATAAACTGATTTCCTCTTCTTTGGGACTGTACCCTCTCTTCTGGAAATGGTGGCATAATTCTAAACCTAATATTGATCAAATGTCACAAAATATAAAGAAAAAGTAGTACAACACCCCCCTCCCCCACCTCCTTTTCCATCCTCACCCCAGATCTCGTAACATCGTCATGGGAGCATAGGTCAGTCTGTTCATTAAACAAGGATAACGTTTCTAAACCACACATGTGCTGATGTTTGTCTGATATCATCCCCACACAAATAGCCTCAAAGTACGTGGGGCAATTTGCGAAGCAAGTCGATGCATTTAACTAAGGTAAATTGTTAATACCAGACGGAAAGTGTAATAAGGAAGTTACATCTAGAATAGATCAAGCGAGATTGTTCTGTGCAGTCTACGTTTGTCCTTAAAGGTGGGAAAGAGAATTCTTAAGAATTACAGAGGGAAAAATCATTTTGTCAGGAAAGAGGGATAACATGCCGAATAGTAACAATTTAAATGGAAGATGCAGCATTTAGTTTTATGGAAAAATGATGAAAACGGTGTGGAGAGAGTTTGCATAATGAATCTTAAAAGAAATTAACCTGCAAAAAGAATAAAGTACGCGCATCAGAAGGAGACCATCTAGATTACTGGGTACGTCCTGACTGGAGGTTTGAGGTTTTGATCAACGGGTCAACATTATGGCACACGGGTGTAACCCACAAGTGCTCCGTTCTTATTCTAAATCAATTTTGAGTCCGTAGAAGCTCAGCACAGTGCACTGGCTATATAGCACCGGCAAGGATCCTGAAATACTGTGGGTAGATTTTCAACTCCAAATTTTGCCTGGGCAGCGCCGTTAGGCTACTCTTTTCGATTTCCAACTGCCAAGAGATTTTTTACGTCCGCAACAATGCAAACAGGCGTCCGATCTCACTACCCAGAGACCAGAAGGAATTACTAGAAGTCCAAGTTAGCCTGTAAATATTCCAGCCCTTACCGGGGATCGAACTCGAAACCTCTAGCATTCGAGGCGGACACCATGCCTCGAGACTACGCATCCCCCTTTCTAACTGCAGAAATATTGCAGAACCCTGAAAAGAGGATAGACGGGGAGAAAGATAAATTTGTGGTGAGCAACAAAGCGGTCATGCATAGACCACATCTTTACTCTTAGAATAATTGTTGAAGATTCTACAGAATTCCAGTCGAAATTATTGATAAAATTTGTCGACTTCCAAAAAGCCTTCGACAGTATCCATCGTCCAACATTCTGGAAATTGCTTAAAATCTATGGTTTCCCCATCAAATATATCAACATCATAAAATCTTTTTATAATGAAACACGATGCTGTGTAAGAACTGAATCCGGCAATTCTGACTGGTTCCCGGTGGAAACAGGAGTGAAGCAAGGCTGTGTCCCATCGCCGATGCTTTTTGGTATAGCAATCGACTGGGTCATGCGCAAGTGCATAAATAACGCAAATTTAGGCATTACATGGGTTGACAAAATTCTGGAAGACCTAGACTTCGCCGACGACATAGCACTCCTGAGTTCAGAACACACAGACGCCCAAGAAAAAATCAATCGACTCCAGAATTTCTCAGAACAAATTGGACTCCAAATTAACACCGCAAAAAACAAAAATTCTAGACCTTACCAACAGTTCAGTTGATATCACGCTGAACAACAACACAGCCTTGAAAAAGTCAACAGTTTCACTTATCTAGGGAGCAAGATGTCATCTACAGGAGATACCGCACCAGAAATACCATTTAAAATAGCACTGGCATCTAGTGCCTTCAATAAACTGTCCAACATCTGGAAATCAAAGACACTTAGCAAACACACAAAACTCAAGATCTTCAATTCTTGTGTGATTCCAGTACTAACCTATGGATGCGAGAGCTGGAAATCAACGAAAACTCTAGACACAAAATTAGACAATTTTGAAAATAAATGCCTTAGAAGAATACTAAATTTCAAATGGTCAGATTTCTGAACCAATACACAAATAAGGCAAGAATCCAGGCAAGAGTATGTGTCTAATTTTATACGAAAACGCCGCTGGAACTATGTCAGCTACGCCCTTAGAATGGATAAATCAAGACTTCCTTACCAAGCCCTCATTTGGACACCACAGGGGAAAAGATCTCGTGGAAGACCAAGGGAAACTCTACGTAGAACTATCATCAGGGAAGGCTCGCTCATGGGCCTCTCAAACTTCCAAGACCTACAACAGATTGCAACGAACCGCCATGCATGGAGAGTCATGACCTCTGCCCTATGTGCCGCACTCGACACAAGAGGAAAGACTAACTAACTAACTAACAAAGATGATAATGGATAGTTTGGTATCAGTCCCAAGAGAGAGAAGGTTGTGGACAGACATGGCCTTTAGGACAAATAAAACATTCAGTCATTGACCAATATGTATGTTCCATCCACTAATGAGAAATAAAGCATGTAAACATAATTTACTGTGAGAAACTTTTGTTATTAGCAACAATCTTTAACTTGGAAACGAAAAAAGAACTAAAATTATATAGTTTTTTTTTTCATGCTACATAAAAAAAAAGTATGTTCATGTTTACTTCAACAACAAGAGTAGCAGTTTGCTGTCCAGCTCGGGATCTGTAGTATTAGCTGCTGTGATTCCGCGTGGATGAATATGGTCCTAATATCAGTAATCCTTAGTTTTCTTATTGCTACCACTTGAGATTACTTTGGCTGTAGAGCCTGAGTTAGTAGTTAATGTTGCATTATTCCAGGTGAATTTATCATCTGCATCTCAATGAATTGAATGCAAGACGTTATTCACACCATCTATTTGTAAAATTTTTCATTCGGTCTTGAAAAAACATTTCCTTCACAGAAAATATGTGCCAATTTGAAAAAAATCAATCTTTTTGTTCTAATTGTTTGTAGTCGTACCTCCATCAAATTCATTGCCGATGTTTTTTTATTTAACGAAACAAATGCAGTCTGCGTTCTCATGTTATCAATTTCCATTTCAGTTAATTTATAACGCCAAAATTTATAGTCGACATGTCACAGGTAGCTTCCTCATTATCATTGTCACAAGGTCAATTTTAGTGGCCAAGCGTCTCTGAAAAGAGTTATTAATGATCTAGGGTTGAACTGGTTTACAATGGAGTAGTTTATAAATGCAAAAATAACATTAGCATCCCTTATCCCACATGTGATGTTGAATGTCGGAAATGCTATATTTGTTTTATGTAATTCATTACCATGAAATAGTGTATAGTTAACATAGGCGTATTTACATAAACTGGCCAGGAGATTACAAACTCAGCAGTGTTTCTGAGCTTCTAACAGATGTTGCTTATTAACTCGGTCACGGACTTTTACTTTTCCCGAATTATATCTCTAACAAATTTATTATGACCCTCTGCCTTTCTTTGAAATATATGCTCATCAAAATTGTGTTATATTCGTTTACATTTATTTTGAAAGTTAAAATGTTAGTCGTCACCTCAGATGCTTAGAGAGTTTGTAAGAGTTTCATAATTACTTTAAAATAGTGCTCAAAGTCAGCTGCAATAAATTTGGTAGCAAACAGCATTGCGTTGTTGTGAAAAAAAAAAACGATATAGGCCCTGCCCAGACAGCAAAGACGTTTTTTTTCCCCATTCTTCTTATAGTCGATGCAGTATGCCTTCTACCCACACCGTTGTGTCTCGTGTACTTTTGATCAGTTGTTACACAGATGATCTTCCATGCCATAATGTCACATTGTCCAGCGTCTTCTCTCTCGGCCTCCGTCTGCTTTTTCCCTCCTTCAACCTACCCAGTGTCAAGATGTACTCCAGTGTTCTCCTTCTCATGACATGCCCGAAGAATGTAGATCGTCTTCATTTATCTGTCTAAGGTTTTCTCATAATTGTCTATAAAACCACATCACCGCTGCTTCCCCACAATTTTTCACTTATTGACAAATTGCCCATGATTTATTTCCGTATATAAGATATGATTTATATAGCTCTGTTGAGATTTTGTTCTCATCTCAACTGAAAAAATTAAGACAACACATTGCCGAGGGCAAACATGTTTATGAACACTACGAGCAACATGTGAATGCTGGGATTAGTGTGCGGCGACGTCATGACAACTGAACGTAACTAAAATTTGTATAATCTGTAATTCCTTAAAGGAGAAACATTTACATTATTTTGTTATGTCATTCGAAGGAGATTACTGAAGTACGACGAGAAAGGCGGAAAGCTAGAGGGGAAAAGAGGCAGATGGTGACCAAAATAGAAGATGCCATGTAAGAAAATATGTGTCAAAATTGTTTGAAAGTACAAGGGACCTGAGGCTGTGGACAGGCGTGACTACCAACCCTTTTGCGGCATCGAGCGCACAAGAAGAAGAAAGTTGAATGTTATGATTACATATTTATATTTCAACAACAGTTTGACATTTTTGTTGTATTCTAAAGTCAAACTTTATAGTTTTTAACACATATTTATGTATTAATTTATACACGCAATAGAAGACATATTCAGTTAAAATACCAATAAAGTGTGTAAATATTACAAATGTAAAGACCATTGTTTGATTGTGTTACATAAACAATATCATCGTTTTATATTTCAGCGTCATGTTTAGTTATTAATATTTTACATATTTGTTATATAGTTTTGGGACATAATTGTTGGTTATTTTCATATCATTTCAATAAGTGTTGATAAAAATTGAATCTGAGAATCTAACAACCCCTCCCCTACCTGTGGGCCGGGAGGGGGGGGGCAGACTGAGCACCCCCCCCCCCCCCGCCCCCCACCCACCATGTCAAAAACAAATGATCAAGTCTGATACCACCTCTTGATCATCCTAGCGTCCCATGACGGATTAAGG